CACTGGCGGCTGTACGTGTCCACTTAATACTTACCGTTTACGTCGACTGCCGCAAGACCTTGCAACGACGCGTAATTGGTTTCTTCGTAGTCATCATTTTCTTCCATCTCGTCATTCACTGGTCATTGAATTATAGTTTAGAAACTGTTATGACAACTGAATAGATTATTCGTAGAATTATACACTTACAAATCTGCAGACGTAGGATTAATAATGGTTACCGTAACAATTGTTTCCTTGTTTCGCTGCCAAGGTCATTGAAGAGTAAGTTAAAAACAATCTTAAACAATAGTTACATAAATCAATTGAAAATGACCACTCTAAAGAATGTACTACAGTTGAATCATAATCTAAAATGCATTAAATCACCAAAAATTTGTTCGTACGTTTTATGTACGACAAAGAGGTTTTGTGTTTGAAGGAGTGGAGGGTCGCCTGCATAAGAATACTGCTACAATGCGACTTGATTACATCTGAATGAACAGGCCGCGTGACAAGCTCAAGTGTACCGTATTGTGATGCATATAAGACCGCGACCGACGCCGACGGTCGCTGCACTTCAGACTGACGTGGTGGTGGGGACGCGGCCAAAACACGTCTCGCTATTGAAATTAATTTGTGCATGAATTCATTGTTGGCCCCGAGCCCTTTACCTGTTTCGTCTGTTCGGACTTTTAACAATGTCTTTTTAATGGTATCCCTATAATGTATACACCTCTTTCTGATTAAATATTTTCATAAAACATTCATTAGAGTTTAACAATATATTATCCTTTAAATAATTTTGTTAAATAATACCTATTCAACTTTCAAGGCAAATTGTGATTTGTTTATATGTAATTCGTAATTTTATTTGTTTAATTCTAATCATATAATTTAAAAGAAAATAAACTAAGCCCTATTCGTACACTTGTTGATGTCTAACATCAGCTTTGATGGATTTTGTTCATAAATTACCAACAAGCAAAGAAAAAAAAAATCTTCTTGGCCAGTATTATTACAGACAATTAAAAACAAATAAAACTATCGTCACTTAACAAAGAGATTATTTAGACATTAATTTTAAAATAATGTCTCAAATTGTAAGTATTGTATATTTTAATTATATTTCCTGTGCCCTAATTATATTCTTAGTGCATTGATTTAATAATAATTTATATAAATATTGATGTTAGAGGCACACACTATCCTTATAAATGGCATTTTCCTTAATTGTGTCACTATCAACACTATAATATAATTGCCTTGGGTTGTTATAACAAGGCAGAGTTAAAATATCCATATAAAAGTATCGTATTGAAAATTAAATGTCTTAATTGACTTTGCAAATTCCAATCCAGTTAAATATGTTAAGGCATTGTCTACTTCAGTGTATTTAAAAAGATTGGAAGTATTTATTTTACTTTTAAAGTAATTATTTATAAATTAACTGTCATTAGCTGATTGCTATTAATCATTGCTAAAGGATTACAAAAATTATCTATTCCATGAAATCATTTTGGTGCTAATTATCTTGGTAAATATTGGTCATATTTATCATTAGTTAATTATGAGTATAATTAACTGAAGTATTACAATCCCTTTAAAAGGTATAAGATTTTTGTTAAAGTGCACTATTTAATGCTAGAATAATAAACATTAGTCAAGATATATTCAGAAAGTAATATTACAAAGAGAAAAGATTTGTACTTTTGTATGTATTGAAATAAATCAAATACTACTGGGCCGATTTTAAAATATTTTTCACCATTAGAAAGATAATTGATCTGTGAATAACATAGAGTTTGTTTTTAATTTTTGGAGTGCGAAGTCACAAGCAATAGCTAGTATACATATAATTTAGTTCCAATATAACTTATTAAACAAAGAAATTAGTGTAATAGTGAAGGCAACATAATTTGTAATGACTACAAAAACTAGTGCTTCTTTGTAAAATATAATTTGTTTGATCTTTCTGTAAGCTTAAGCATGATCAACAAATAATTACCTAATTACGTTACTATTGAGTTATGTTAAGAAAATGCACTATTTTAATCAAATATTTTCAACTAAGAATGTACTTCTTGTTGTGGTCTTCTTAAATGTTACTAATTGTAAGTTGGGCATAAACAAAAAATACAGAAAAAAATAATATGAAGGTACTTAAAAATTACCATCCTACAGTAGAATGGAACATTTTGATAATGTTTCTATACTACTATTTAAATAAACTAATATAAACATTTAGAAATTTGTTTATTGTAGTGGCATTTGATAATGTTTTGATTACTAACTGCCAATGCATTTGTAACTAGATCTGTTTCATATTCATTGATTAATCAACACTTTTATCCAAATTTATGAACAGAAAGTACAATATCAAGTCTATAGCATCTAACATGTGATTGTCATTTCATACATGTTTACTAGAGCAAAACATTCTTAAAAAATAGATTACATCACAATTTAATATAAAAATCAAGTGAAATAACCCAAATGGGTAAATGAAATCTAATAAAAAAAATCAAATAAATAAGGACTATGTTTATTAAGTTGATCTATTTTTCAATTGAAAACCAAAACTATAGGTGTAAGCAAAAATATTTAAGAATCATTGACAATAAGTGAAAAATAATGTACTATAGATTTGACAATGTAACAATGCATGTAATATCTTTGGCCTAAAATCTTACTAAAAGAACTAAAAAGCTTTGTATGTGATATGTAGGGTAATAATTGACTGGTATATCAAGTGATGAAAACAGGTACAGCAAACTATGTATAAAAGTTTTGTGGTTACCTGGAGTCTGCAGAATAAAACTTCACTTGTTAATCTCCCACTTAAAAACTTTTATTATAGATATTTTGTTATATGTATTATCACAAATCCTGGTAGACTTTAAAACACAATCACGCAACTGACAATTCTCAAGTCTGTGTTTCCTTTGATTACTGATTTCTCATATAAACATAATTTACACAATAAAACACAATCTGCAAGTTGACTTAGGTACAACTCTCGCCCCGAGCACTTCACACTACACATTCATATATGTTTATTGCATATTTGGATGGCCTTTTAATTCTCTAAAACCGTCTTTGTCCTTCCACATTATTAATCTCATGAAATTATATACAAAGTTCACTAACATTATTTTACAATACATATATAGTGTAATATAAAAATCAGACAATGTCCTAGTTAGCCGAGGACAATATTTAAATTATTACAACTTTTTGCTAAATATAATGTTCCAATCAGAATCCACATGTTCATTATGTTTTTTTATGTGACAATGATTATTGCGGGAGTATCTACCAGTACTAAAGTATGAAAATATAAGATAAAGCACCTCGATTGGACAATGGTATGTATCAAAGATATTAACAACGTGATATGACGCGCTCCGCGGCCGCCAAAGGTCCAACGACAGGGGCCGGCAGGGCGCGCCCCGGGACCTCCGCGCGCCCCCGGGAGGCAGGCGGCCGTCGGGCCGACGCGGCTGCCTTCCTGCCTCCTCTTGCAGTCTTACGAGAAATAAATGCCACATTACACTCTAAATATTAAAGCACTGTACAACAACAATAAGGTTTCTTGTCCTTCTCTGGACTAACGTTCATTTCGCGCACGATTTCTGCAAACATTTCATTCACATTGATGCGACTCTTGGCAGAGCCCTCGAAGAACGGGCAGCCCCACATTTGCGCGAGGCTGGAGCCCTCCGCCTGTGAAACCTCCCGCTGGTGTTCCAAGTCTGCTTTGTTTCCCACTAGCAATATCGGCACACGTTCCGAGCCTTTGACGCGCGTGATTAACTCTTTCATTGGCTTTATGTCTTGGAACGTCTGGTGATTGGTTAAAGAATATACTACAACAAAGCCTTGGCCATTTTTTATATACAAATCTCTCATGGATGCAAATTGTTCCGTGCCCGCTGTATCCAATATTTCTAAAACACACGGAGAATTGTCCACTTCTATTTCTTTCCTATAAAAGTCCTCTATGGTGGGGTCGTATTTTTCCATAAAACATCCAGACACAAATTGCACCGTCAAAGCACTCTTGCCGACCCCACCCGATCCCAGCACAACTACTTTGAATTCGCGCATTATTGTGGTATCTAAATCACACTAGCCAGTCTTCTAAACAACGTTTTGGAAACGTATTCTCACTGTGTGCTATAAAAATGTCATTGCTATGTTGGTTTATGACTCACACGGATGCGATCTTTGTAGAACGTTCACATGAAACAAGATAACTAAATGATAAACAGCGACGCCATTTTAGTTGAATGGGTAGCAAAACAACTTTGATTGCATCCCGGCGCTGCCTAGTCACTTTACACTTGAAAGTACAAACACGGAAGCAAACATCTATCCAACTGACTTGCTCCTCGATAGAATTGGCAGCAACAGCAGGTTGGTCAATGCACTCTATTGCTATGGTTTGATTGGTGAATGGAATTATTACAAACCGGATACCGATGTTACCATGTTTTTTTTCAAAACTGGCACACGAACTACTAAATGTGTTAAGAAAATTTCGTTATTACATCCATTAAACGAGAAGGATACTTATAATTTTTTAATTGAGATTAATATTCGTTCGAAACAAAACAAATTATTTAAATTTTCGAAATGGCTGACAAAGATATTTTCCTAAATGATATTTAATCCTAATAGATTACTTTAAAAAGAAAATTCAATTATTCATAATAAATGTTATGATATCACATTATTAAGAAATTTAAAAAGTATTTAAATAATTTACTTACGGGTAAGGAAAAATTAAGCACCAGGTAACATTGGACCGGAAATGTTCATACAAGTGACATGGTAACATTGGATTTCGTTCAAAAATCGTGTTTCAAAATTTAACAATTGCAAATAAAGACATCAATAAATATTCCATTGCATACAAAAACTACTAAGGATTTCCTTAAATATTATACGACCTGAAATAAAATTTACACAGCATTTTAAAATTCAGTTCCAGTTTACATTTTTTATCTGTCTTCCTTAGGTGTTGTTGTTTTTAAGTTTTCTTTAATTCGATTTCAGTTTTCTGTCGATTTTCCAAGGGAGGATAAACCGGGCAAACCGAGCAAACAACAAAATAAATAGCATTATCCAGTACCCTTGTTTTAAAATACACCGTTGAGAAGTACCAAGGTAAAAATTGTGTATTGTAATAATATTTAATTATATTGTAATATTTTATATTATTTTTGATTAACAAATTTATTTACATGATTTATTAAATATAACTTACCGGTTAAGATTTTCTAAACAAACGCCCAATTCTAGTAAACACCTATAAACTTTTGATCTTACAATAGTATAACTAATGGTTATTTCCACATTTTTAGTTCCAAAAAAAGGTCCATATTATGGCTATAAATAAAAAGATGTCGAGGTCATATTATTCTCCAAGAATACGATCCAATTAGAAGTTGTCGCAACTCATACTTCACCAAATTTATTGGATTGGACTAATTTGACAAGATAAATGTAAATCTATTTGACATTATGTCTGAAATATTATAGTATATGTACAGTTATTACTATGTTCAGGGAGTTATATTATTTGAAATCCAACTTTGATCGGATTGGATATTGTTTATTGTTTTGCTCAAGTGACTAATTGTTTTATGTATAAATTTAAACTACAAACATATAATTTCAATGTAATTGCATTAGTTGTATAAATGTTTGTTACACATTTCGATAAGTGAGGAATCATTTTATCCATCTTTTCTGCTCCAGTATGACAAAAATATAATTTGTATGCATCATTGAATAAGTGATGGTATATTTATTAGATAGAGCTTTAAAAAACGATTTTATGAACGAACATTTAGATGAAAAAATAAATGAATAATAATGATTTTAGGCCAGCAAGCAAAATGTCGCACAAATCTACACCATATAGCCCAAACTTTCCACCTAGTCAAGGCTATGAACCCCCAGTAGAAGGTGGCACACATAATGAAAGTTACCCTATGAACCCCCATGGGGATTACTCAGCACCTCCACACCATCAGATGCCACACCCTGGACCCACATTGCCACCTGGAGCCCAGCCTTTACCAGGAATGCATCATGGCTTCCAACCAGGGTTTCAACCGGGCTTTCAACCTGGTTATCAGCCTGGCTATGCACCTGGATATCCTCATCCGCAGTCAGGCTACCCGGCACCAGTGGTGCAGCAGCCTGCACCTCAGGGTCCTCCAGGTAATTCAGATTATTCATTCATTAATACCTAATTACAAAGATTTATTTACTGTTATAAGTAAATTTGATTAAAATGATGGTTACAATAGGATAAAGGGTTTAGAGCAGTGATTCACAAAGTGGTCTATATCGACCCCTATGGATCTATGATAACCTGCAAGGGGTCTATGTTAGCGAAAAAAAATTAGGGGTCCATGAAATGAAAATGATGGTCCACAATAGTGGATGATAGCACCTATTTATTTACATCATACTATCTTATGATATCAAAACATATAAATGTATAAATTAACATGTGGATTTACTTTAAGTTTTAAAAGTAAACTTCACTACAGTTAGAAATTTACAGGAAATCACGGAAAAACATGGCAAGGGGTCTACCACATAAAAAAAATTGTGAAACTGTGGTTTAGAGTATACTTAACAAAAAAGTATACAATAACACATGAATTTTTGTTTACTTAGATATCATTCCGCGTTTTGTATTTATTATATAATCATCAAATAAAATATTTAAGTCTTAAACCCGTTTCGATAAGATAACGTTGCGATTTTTTTCCGCCTATATAATTAATTTTCAAACATTATCAAGTATCATTTTGTTAATTTAATTGGCATTTATTTGCCCTTGTCTTAAAACTATCATTGGATACAAATAAGTTAATGACTCCTTACATAGATAAAGCTGTTTACTCTTGCGATAGGAGCAAGTTATAATCACTTTGTAGCAATATTCGTCCATAAAGTGTTGACACCACTCTTCATTTAATTACAAATATTTTTACTGAGCCAGTGTTTAAATTGTGTATTTAAAAATGGTTTTTGATAATTCAAATCATCCTTTTGATATATTGTATGAAGACTTGCCTAAAGAAACAAAAACTAGTTCTGTTAAGTGGTGTAAATATAAGAAATATATTTCAAGAAAGTGCAACTTTGAAAATATTAAAAATCGGAATATTATATACTTTCAAACCTTGAGTGCGTCAAGTGCTAAAAGAACACTGGCTAGAATTTTTAATAATCTTTTTAAATCACATCACGCTGGTTATGAAAAATTTTTATCGGACGAAGAAAAGAGGTTTATTAATGTTAAGACCAATCGGGAATTGGTGGAGGATGTAAAATACTAACATGAAACAAAGTGACTAACATTATGTATTTACTATATTGTATATATTTACGTGTTTATTTCAACCTCAAGCAAGTGTCTTATCCAACTAATGTAATATTGGTGTAGGTATTTGTAATGCTAGTTTATGTTCTGCCCTATTTGTTTGTGTTTACTGTTATTATATACTGATAAGACTGTATTAATGTACATATTTGCACTACTTTGATGTGAGTACTTAGTGTTTTAATTAAATTTGTACACTTAAATGTTAATTTACAGTAAATGTATGTATAATTTCAGGTGGTTGGATGACTATTCCGCGCGGGCTGAGCAACTGTCCTCCAGGTTTGGAATACCTGTCTATGATTGATCAGTTGCTGGTGCATCAGAAGATTGAACTGATGGAAGCTTTTGTTGGTTTTGAAACTAATAATAAATACACAATTAAGAATAATGTTGGGCAAAAAGTGTATTATGCGATTGAAGACAATGATTGCTGCACTCGTAACTGCTGCGGTCCTATGAGACCATTTGAAATGAAAATTATGGATAATTTCCACAATGAGGTACATATTGAGGTTGAAAATAATAATTTATTAAGAAACTATTAAGTATGAAAGTATGGATGGATTGTGTGAAAGAGGATATACTTAAGAAGGAGTTCAATACATGTATGATGGCTGATAGAGATGTATGGAAGCGGTACATACTGTTCCAATCCTTTTTAGAGAAAAGCTCTGATAGATGATTGAATATTCATTAAAAATAATATTTAATTTCAGGTTATTCATCTGCATCGCCCTCTAGCTTGTGACTCGTGCTTCTGTCCGTGCTGGCTGCAGAGCATGGAGGTGACAGCCCCTCCGGGAACAGTCATCGGCTCCATTGAACAAGAGTGGTCGATCTGCAAGCCATGCTATGTAATAAAGAATGCATTGGGTGACGTCGTTCTGAGAATCAAAGGACCATGTTGTACTTTCTCCATTTGTGGACAAGTCGAATTCAATGTAAGTACAAAGTTTTGTAAACCTCCAATAATTCTAATTTTTTTTTTTAATTAAAGGTCCTTAACTTAAATGCCAGGCCAACATTTTTTGCATTTTATACTAGTTCCAGTACAAATTATCCTCATGGTATTATAAAAAACTTTACTTTATTGGAAATATCAATGTCATCGAAGGCAGTTGCTATACCGTTACTGTTACCATGGCAATATTGCTTCCTTGCTGCTATTGTCTTGTAGGTTTTATCTCTTTCGCGCGTAAACATTTTTACCTATTTTCGCCCGCAACTCGCATTTATGAAAAAAAAAAACAAATGTGTAAGTAGCCTATGTGTTCTTTCAGACTATCCTCTACATCTGTATAAAATTTAATCGAAATCCGTAGCCATTTAGGCTACAAACTAACATTCATCCATCCATGTAAATTTCTGCATTTATAAGATTAGTAAGATTAGTTAGATAATGAGATTATTTTATTTGAATAAAATGTTCCAGGTGTATTCCAGAGACGGAGATACCAAAGTGGGCAAGATAACGAAGCAGTGGTCGGGGCTCGCGCGAGAAATGTTCACAGATTCAGACTACTTTGGTATATCATTTCCTATGGACCTTGATGTCAGGATAAAAGCTGTCCTGTTGGGCGCGTGTTTCTTGATTGTAAGTATTGCAGTTAATACGCTTTTAAACGTAATTCTTTAGTACAGTGTGATTCAAATAAGAGTTTGCTTGATGTGTCATGTTGTGATTGACTTTGTTTTTGCAATTCAAATATATAAATTTAATAAGGAAATGAAAATTTTCGAAATAATTATTTAATTTTTAACTATTGGTTACCTGCATGCGAACATTTATTTGAAATTGCACTTATGTTGCAACGCAAAAACATAATGTTCGCGGAATATGGATTTTTTAAATATCACTGACAGTCTTATTAACTGTACTTTCAAGCTTTTAGTTAAAGAAAATACCATTTTTGATTTTTGACCGAGGTCATTATTCAGCATATTCTTACTTGAAACACATTATACAAAATTTAAATCAAGAAATTGATTTAAAGTTATGATGTAGTGGTCATTTTATGTATGTAATATTAATATGTATTTATTTACCAGGATTTTATGTTCTTCGAAAAGACAAGAAACCAAAATGAGTAAGAACATAACTGTAACGAGGCATTTATAATTTGTCTGATAATATTTTAAATGTATGACTATCGGCTTGTGTAATCTTATATTGGATCTCGTAACCTTTTCGATCTGTTTACATCTTAATATTAAGAAAAGTAGGAGCACAATAAAAGCTTTAGTATTGAAAATGCTTTCGCCTATTAATAGTTACTATTTATTAAAACATTTAAAAATTTTTAACCCTTAAACATTTAATAGTTGGATTGTTCAACTTTTGTGACTATTAGATTGTAAGAAATATTTTGAAAGTCAATAAATTTAGAACTAGAGCATTTACAATACTGTCACTATATTGATAAAAGTGAAAATATACGAAAACCGCCAAACTATGGTAATTTAATTACCTTCTTACGCATTTTTTATATTAGTTATCTATGACACAAATACATTAGGTTTACTAAATTTCGTTTTAAAAATATACATTGTTCCAAATAAAATTGTTAATGTCTTAAACTCAAGATATACTTTTTTTAGTAGACTGCTATTGAACTAACATAATTGCTGATTATTAAGCCTACCGAAATACAAATTTTACACTCTTCATAATTTATTAATAGGTATCAAGATAGCTTAGATAGGTTTCATATGAAGCAATTTTCATTGTATTGAAACATTTTATTCTCAATGAAAATAAAAATTATATAGTGGAAAAACATACTATATTTTTTCTTAATATTTATTGGAACAGTACATAATCAATATATTTTATGGAACAAAAAATATTCTTTCCTATGATTATCCATTTTCAGTTTTATTCTCATTTAGATTTAAGTGCAACTTATCCGTGCTCTGCTGTTCAATTATTTTATTGGTTTATTTAAACCTTCTGATAATTATGTTTATAAATATATTTACATGTAGTGTAGATTTACCGATTATTTTACTCTTTTATGCCTTTTTTATGTTTTATTTTGTTTTTATTTTTAATTCAATGTTATATGTGTTAAAACTATATGCCATGCGTTTTTTTTAATTACAATTATTAAATTATATCTGGATTATTATGATTGTCAAATGGATGTTATCCATAGTTATAGTTGAGGCACAATTATAAAACAGAATTTTAACTGGAGATTGTTATCTTTAATTTTCAATCCTGCCACTGTGAATCTATGTGTAATAAAAAAGTTTATTTTATATTTCTAGTCTTCAATATTAATTCTTTTTCATATTGTATTTTTTAATTATTAAGCATGCCAATAATTAATAAAATCTAAATTCGCGTAAATGACAAAAATTGCCAAACTTCTTATAATGTACTAGATAATGTGACAAAATTAATGCTTTTAAAATGCAATTATTTACATCAATTTTAATATAAATGACAGAAAATTATATTTATGGTTGTGAAAACTTTAGTTACCAATTTTGGTAATATTTGCATTTTTTCATAGGCTGTAGTGCAATGTTAGACATACAAACTTGAAGACATTTCGATATTATATTTTTACTCTGTATAATGTTCCTTGATTCTCCTATTTAATTATTTTAGGCATATTTAATGCTAGTAGTTGATATTGAAAAGATTTTTTTTTACAACAGTTTGAAATCAATGATTAACAATTTTAAAAAATTGAATACTATGAAATAAGTTAATTTATATTTTAATTTTGCAGCAAGAAATGTAATCGTCTAGAGTAAGTTATATATTGTAAACCATTTACAAGTTATTTAGGAAAATAAATAGAAAAAATCATACTCCATGTATTTGTTTTTTTATTGATATAAAAACTAAACCTACTTCTCATTTGTATGAAAATATTTTATATTAACAGTTGTTCGCGACTTCGTCCGCGTGCAATTAAAAAAATAGTAATATAAACATGGCTTATATTACTCACTGACAATGTAGCTTTTTAATATGGAAACCTATTTACTGGTGAAAGAATTTTTGTAATCGGCCTTGTAGTACATAAGTTATTTCAATACATACAAAAATACAAATCTGTCTTCTTTAAATTATTAGTAGTATTAGTATAAATTGATTTATTAAAATATATTTATAGAAGAAGGAGAAGAAAAACAAACATTGTTTGATCTCTACTACATTGCAGTGACATTATAAATCTTAATTATTAAAAATCGCCAAAAATATGTAGAGTAAAAAAATGTATATTCTCTAAGTTAACTGTCAGGTGTATCATCAGACTTTAATTAGAGTATTGTATACTTCCACCTTAATCTTACTTAAGAATTATTTTTTAAGAGCCCAAAACCTTTAAACTATACTCGGAGGCTAAATTCATTTAAACTTCTTCAACAATTCTGTAGCTTCTTTGTTAGCTTGATGGTCTTCATTTGACTTGGCAGGGTAACTAGCAGCCAGTTGTAAATAATATTTAGCCTGGTCCGGTTTGTTTAGTTTTAAATAGCAAATACCGATTCTTAATAAATTCATACTGTAAAATCTAGGTTGTACTGATTCCGCTTTCAAAAAATATTCAAGTGCATCTTCATAATTCGATTTAGGTAGAGACGCGAAAAGAAGTTCAGCTGTTCTTCTATAATGCCATGGCATTTCAGTTATTTGAAAACACCATTCTCCAAGCATGTGAAAGGTTGTAGCGTCATTTGGATTTAATATAACTGCCAGCTGAAATTATAAGAAAATATGTGGATTATTAAATAATACACAAATACCAGAGATTACTCTTTGATTGAATTCAACTTACATCCATATGTTGTTTTATATTTTCAAGGTTTTTAATTTTCTCTTTGTACCCTTCATAACTAGCTTTGGCTTCCAAAACGAGGGCAAACCATTTGTGGACAGCATAATGGTTTGGAGATATATTAACTTCCTTTTCTATTATTTCATATGCTTGCTTAATAAGGTTTTGTCTTTGGTTTTGATCGAATTTTAAATCTCTTGATAAATTGTACAGTGCTCGACAAATACGCCATCTCACTTCAACATTATCATGTAACTGTAAATCAAAATTTAAAAAATGTTTCATGAAAGTAATATTTATGATTCATTATAATCACTACTAAATATTAGAATACTATCATAATTTAATTGTTTTTTTATATTAAACGAGCTTTCGCCCGCGACTCCATCTGCGTGGAATTAAAAAAATAAAAGTGAGTTGCCCATGTGTTCTTCCAGACTATTCTCTACATCTATGCCAAATTACATCGAGATCCGTTCAGCAATTTGGGGTAACAAACATCCATCTTTCCATCCATCCATCCTTCCATCTAAACTTACGCATTTATCATATTAGTAAGAAATGATATCATCGACAATGTGTATTTTCAATTATAACAAATTAATTTAAACAAATGTTCTTATTTACTTTTTATGAAGATGTTAAGCTTTACTTTTCTTATTTGTGTTCAATAAATGATTATTTATAATTAATTTAAGAATCAATATGTTTTTTTTTTCATAACAAATCAATAGATGGAAAAATGAGTTTTTTTACCTCTACATATCATAATAAAAACCTTTGCTATACCACTGGTATTGACTGACCTTACTTAACATTAAGGTTTGGTAACAAGCTTCATAATGACCATTTTCAAACTCCTTATCAGATTTTTCTATAACCATATTGACATCTTCTTCCTTTTTATTCTTTTCAGTCTCTTTTTCAGCTACAGACCATAAAAAGCCTAAGGCAGCTATTCCTATAGGTGGGAAATGCATTTTCTTGTTATTCTGTAAAAAAAAAGGAAATAGATACATTCAAGATTACTTAAGAAACTAGTGATTAATTTTGTAAAAGACGGATACATAAGTGTTTACCAAAACATAACGTAAATAAATTGTTTAATATGACTACAAATGTAATATTACTTACTTTAAACAATAACAAATTTTTAGAGTATGTTTTTTTCATAAATAGCCCCATCATGACTGAACGTAATAATAGAATTCTGGAATTCTGCATTCTTACAGTAAATAAGAATCCTAAAGATATGTACTGTCTTTACATTTGACTTTAATTAAATATTAATCAAAATGGAATATAAGTAAACAAAACAGTTATCACTTTGACAGCTTGTGTCAAATTTGACATATTAAAATGAGTAGATATGATACAGAACACATAAAAACCACATTTATTTTGAATCTTAAATCTTCTACGACATTCAGCAATGATTTTTACTAAAAACTGTTAACATTTAACCGGACAAATCAACCGAAAAAGTGTATATTTGTTATATTTCAAAATGATATCAAGCAATTGGGGAAAATACTAAATGATGAGACTTTTTCGTTACTTCTTAATATCGATTAAATGATGTATGTCTTCAAAGATTTTTCTATGAATTTCAATTAATTTTTATGGGACAAAACAACAGGGATTGTACATAAACAAACATCCCTTGCTTTCTTTGGATAGTCTACTAATTCCTACTGTAATTTAACATAATTCAGCAACTTAATTTTAATATTGGCAAGGATATTCAAAAATCAATTTCTTCCCGGCACAAGGGCGGGTGTAACTGTTGACAGTTCGGTTAAGTGTTGTGTTAAAAGGTAGTGAATTAGACATGTTTTCGCTGTGAATTATTGTTTTATAGTGTTATCATAATGCAGAGATCAGGTAATATTCAATATTATCATTCCGCTTACGTAACAGACATATACGTTTACCCGCAACTTCGCGCCAATCAAATATTGCGCATACAGTTCAAATTTTTTGATGCATGTTTTTACTTTTTAAATTGCATTTCATGTAACGGATGCCTTCGGTTTTGTTATACTTAGGCATTAGACATCATTTAGCTACACGTTCAGCCAATTATCGAAATGGGTGAATAATTTAGGAACATACAAATGTTACATAAATTAGAAGATAAAATGTATTTACTATATTTAGAGTGTTTATATGTTTAGTGATTTAAAATGTAATTAAGATCAACTGTTTAAAGCTGTTAAATTCACTTACATATTTTCAACTTTAATTATATTGGTTTTATTGTGTTATGGAAAGACAATGTATAGATGTTGTTAATTTATAGTTATTAGAAATGTATATAGTCTGTTGTCTAATTCTATCACTGAAACTAATGCAACATTGTACATTGTCTTTGATATTGAGAACAAAAACTGTGTTCAATGTTTCCTTGCCTGTGTATTTACAGAATTAGTTATATTGAAATTGATATTGATGTATTGATGCTTATATTCAAATAGTATTATAGTTATTACATGTTATATATGTACTATTATGGGAGTTTTAAGGTTTCAATGTCATTTATTAAATACTTGAAAGGATTGATTTACCCAATTAGCGGCAATGTAATGAAATTGACTAAATATGTCTTTATTTTATATTGAAGTAATCACATAAGAGTTACTTTAGATAAAAACAACTATGAGAATTTTTCACTGTCCTGAGCACTATAAATTCTTTAATTTGAAATTATTCTATTATTATTAACTAAACAGTGATTAACAATTATTAATACTTTGTATGTGATCCCTAATATTGTTAGAATGTAGCCCGGTGTCCCATATTTCAGACTTGTCGTCTAACTGCAAGTAAAAAGACAAATATAAAAATTGTTTATAAGGAATAAGATGTCATTATGATGAATAATATAAAAAACATACATTGTTGATGGAATCATTTTATCCTAGAACAACACTAACCGAGTTAATGGGCAGATTAACTTTATCCTGTTACCATTATATTTTAGGGAAACAAGGATCATTGTTTAGTGTTATATAGGTTTATAGCTATCATTTTAGATACATTTTTGGGAGGTCAATCATATTTTTTTTAATCTATGACAACTGCTGTTTACTATTCTAAATATACAAATGAAGAATCAAAATGTATCCTAGACTATGTAACAAACAGTCAATATAATAACATTTTTAATTATCGGGATTTAATTATGTTTTAATCACATGATTGAGTAAAAATAAAGACCGAGGCCAAAACCACTGGCTTCCGAAACGAACATCGTGCTGTACCGATTGTAAATTTCCTGCCGGTCGCGGAATCCTCGCTACGCGTTAGCCCGTCCTACCGCGATAACTTGATGGTGTATTTTGGGGAACAAATAAATATTACGTGAATATTTTGTTTAATGAAATATAACGCGACGATAGTGACATCATATATTTACTAATACTCTCATCGTTTTTGCTATACCTCATTGTCTATATGCAAAATACGTATTTTATAATTATTCCATTCTTATAATCATTCACAATTATAATATAAAAGTTTTCACGTTGAAGGTGACCGCGTTTTTCGTTAAATATTGTTAAAAATTTTTAACTATGCTCTTCTAGAATATCTTTTTAACACAACTTTTACTTGAATCGTGGTATTTGTGACGAAATAGGTGAATTATTATTGACTGAAGTGTCATCCAGTTGTCGTTGGTGAAAATTTTGGTGAAGAAATCTTCATACCCCGGGAGTTATCGAGAAATATTTCTTGTGGGCCCCAGGTTCCTGATACAGCTATGACCAGAATTGTCACGATACAAAATGGTGTTTGGAGACGTAATTATATTTTGTTTATACTTTGCAATATTATATTTCGACGGTAGCGGGAAGCAAGGTGATGCTGAGATTGTGCTACATTAATAATGGCAAATCTATCTAAAACCAGCAAAAAAATTAAGGTTACTCTTGAATTTTGCGGACCTATAGTCTGTGTCCTAAGGGTGAGACTCATTCCATGGTTTTTTTTAGACGTTCTTTCCATATAAGTCTGGCATTGCATCTGCAATGAATACAGTTAGCATTTTACTTTTAACTTAAGGTCGAAGAACCGGTTATTTGCGTGTCATCTTCTACCTTAAAATAGATTTTTCGGATATCGCTACTTTATTGTTGCTATTTTACTCCAAAATAATTCCGTTCTTAACGTCCCTGAGCCAGAAGGTATACTTTAGGGGCGTTTTACGATTTCATAAAATCGGATGAAATTTTAGTTTTGCTTTTTTCATTGCTGTATCTCTGTGGGGATCGTAAAATGAGACCAACGTAAAATCGCAGTGACCTGTGATATTTTTTCGCTGCTCCAAAGTATGGATAAACATGTGTAATATTAAAAACCTGTAATTAAAATCAGTAAAGACGGTTCTTAAATTATAGCACAGAAATTTTTGTATGTTTAAAAGTAGAATTTCCAAAAATGCTAAATTCTTGGAAACTCTATTATCTTCTTTGATAACAATAAAATCAATATTCTTTGGAAATTTAATAAAAAAACATCAAACACTTTAAATTAATAATGACTAAATTTAATGGATTTTTTTAGTAAAATTGGAAGTAGCAGAGATTTAATATTAACCCATATTTGAAACCGTAAAATGTTCAAAGTTTCTCTAACATCTTAGCGTTCTTTTCTAAGCAGCACTTTACCTTATGAAAGCCAATGTGACCTATATAATACGAAGCTTCCGTGTTGTTATTTAATTCTTGTGAAATTTAGACGAAACTTTGTATCCCAGGTTTATTTTTGACATTATTTTTACATGAAACAGCCTGTTTTTATTAGTTTATCATCTGTCTATTCACGATTCGAAACCGGGCCGTTCGGTATAAACCTCATGCCTACTATCGTATGTTAATATAATACGTTTAGTACATAATTTATGTTGTGGTATAAAGTTTTAATCTATGTTTGCATTCGAGAAAGGCCACATTGTCCTGTGTGCACGGACCATGTAACTCGGTAGAAGCCAGGCCCTGGCGCGGAACCTGACGGCTGTGACGTCATAATGTCGTCCTGCCGCTGTAATCCACACCTTCCATACAATCGCATCTCTTAGATATAAAGCTAAGTTTATATTGAAATAAATTTTCCAGGTTGTTTTTCTATCATTACAAAACCTTAAAATTACTTAAAACTATCTCGTATATTATGTCGGCTTATTACAATTATAACTACCTTATTTCCAAATACAAATTCATATTATAAATAAATCGTTTTCAATGATTTCGTTTACTTTGAAACCCACGAGTTACGGCGTTACACTTAGATATCCTGACCGTTAATATAAAAGGCCGATTAAACACAATAGTATACGTGCAAAAGATAGATTTTATTCTATGTTCAACAATCTGTAATGTAATACTACTGCGATAATGCATAAAAATGCAACAGTAATTAAACACATGCCAGCAGATCAATAATGTACTGAAAGCGTTCTGAGAATACCATCGGACTGCATGTCAATTAAAATCAATTCATCATTTAAAACATTGTGCGCAAACGCATATGCTGTATTTTATAAAGTTGATTCTTTACTTTTTGAAATGGTTGTACTAGAATCGTGTTTTTTACGCAATTTTCTGATATTCGTGGTTTCAACGATCTTATTGCAATAAAGATTTAAATCAAGTACAGGCTAATACTAATCTGAATGTTAATCACGTTAAGGCAGGTTTTTGTTTGCGTTTATGCACTAGTAATGTTGATTATCTTTGATTGTTATAGTTGTGTTTATAGTTATGTATCTATGTAATACGAACAAATAATGTTGTTCCTTCTGGTTCAAGTTACATTCTCCCAGGAACGGCCACCCTTGGCGCGTCGGTATTTGCCAAGTTGCGAATTCCCTGCGCGAATTGAAAAAGCATATTACCGCAGCGCGAGCTGTGCCGCGCTCAGTTGCCGCGGACGGCGGCATACCGTGCGCTCTCCGTCGTCGCTAAACACACGTTTATCTTGCATATTAACATATTTTTATACGTCCGTCCGTCCGTCGCGATCAGTAGAGTACTGCCGAGTACCGCTATTTGTCATCGTGTAAATATTTGTGGTAGATTACCGTTCTCGTTTGTAAGATGATTAAAGCCAAACAAGGATTAAGGATTTAAGTGTTGATGTTTGTCGTAATGTTGTGATGCCATTTGTAATTAGTTACGAGTCGTTAATTTTAACGCCATATTCGTCACGTTGCCGAGATACTTTCAACAATATGGAATCGCATTCATCACGTAAGATGTTTATTAAAGTCTTTATCTGGTGTTTTTATTGTATTGTTTATGTTTAGTGCGTATTT